ATAATGAAGATTATAGATCTTATTAACATGAAAAAGATACAAATAGAGTTAATAAAAGTCAAAAGTCATAGCAAGAACAAATGGAACAACAAAGCTAATAGCCTCACAAAAAAGAAAACAACAAGTGAGAAAGTAATACAGATAGAAAAAATCAATTGTAAAAAGATAGAGTACTGCCTAGAGTAGAAAAACAGACAAACTAACATCTTAGCAAGACTGTTATGCAAACTGGTAATGAATACAAGATTAGGAACAGAATAAAGAAAAACAAATGCAATTAAAAAGTTAGAGCCAAAAACAGAAATTGTGATTTATGATTGGACACAACTCTAGAAAAAATCTAAAGCAACTAAAGTGATACACAGTACAACAAGAAGAAGTAGTATAAGAAGATGTGCATTTATTAAGTGTATAATAGATAAACTCCCAATCTTAGAAGAACTTAACAGAAGATGACCAGATATATACACAATAACAGAATGTCAAGTATGTCAAGATAAAGTTAAAGAAACATAGTTACACTTGGCATCATGCAAAGGACAAGCAAATCTCTGGAAATGAATCCAAAAAGTAACTATTGCAACAGCCTAGAAAGGGTTGAAAGAAGAAGAAAAAACTCACATTCCACTATATATACTATATACAGCACTCTTCAGAAAAAATGAAGCAGAGAAAATAGAGATGAAAGAAGCTTTAATCAAAGGCCTAATTTTAGAAAAGACACAAAAAAGATTAACATAGCTTTTAAATATCAAAGTAAGACAGCAGTTTATAAAGAGAGTAACAAAGATAGTATGGGACACATTCTATGAACAGGTTTGGAGAATAAAATATGAAAAGATTAATGAATAGGAGAAGAAAGAAGGCATAATGACCAAAATGAAGAAAAGGAAATTAAAAGAAAGGATTTAAAAAAGAAAAAAAGACAAGTTAGCAAAAGATCGAAGAAGAAAGAAAACTAGCAAAAAAGAAAAAAAATAGGATCAATGAAGAAACTAGAAAAACAATGTTGGGACTTGTTATAGAAAGGAGAAGACCGTTCTATTATGGACTTTAAGTAGTCAGACAAGTGGCCTACTTCTGCTTGAAGTAGTATAGCAGGTTGTACTTAGGTACTTTTTGGGTAGCCAGGTGATGCTAGACTTAGTTGTTAGATAAATCTATATAATTACAAAAGTAATTTTAAGAATCTTAATAAAGTACTAGTATGACTGCTTAAGTTTAAAAAAAAAAAAAAAAAAAAAAAAAAAAAAATTACAATGCTATATATTTACCTAGTAATATAAAATTAATTGCAATGTATAACTTGTATTTACAAAGGTTTTATTATGACTACTGTAATTACTGCAGCTGCTGCAATTTGTATAACTTTATATAATCTAGGTAATATAAGTTTGTAGTTAGTATAACTGGTATGACTAGTATGCCTAATATAATACAAATTTATAAATAATTGTGTATTATAGTAACTATTGTGTAAATAAATGCAAAATTTATTTTTAGCAAGTTAGTACAAAATAATTTGTAACAAATAAATTTCTTTTTTAGATAAATTTAATTTACACAAAGTAACATTAAATGAAACCAATTTTAGAAATAATTTAAAGTTATACAAAAATATTTTGAAAAAAAAATTTAGAAGTAGAGACAAAAGAATTAAAAAAAAAACTACAGAAGAGTTAAAATTGTTTTCTATTATAATTCTATCAATTTTAGACCTAGAAACTTCTTTTTGGTTTTTTTTTAATTAAAAAAGAATGTTTTATAACTTTCTTATAACTATAAAATAGGTTAACAAGATACTTTGTAAAAAATAATTAAAAGTTTAATAGTGAAGGCCAAAAACTGTTTTAGCAATATTAAACTGTAAGTTTGAAAGTTATAGACTTGAAACTTTTAGAATATATATAAAATTAGAAGATAAGAAAGTTTATTTAAGACATTAAAATTGGTTATCTTAATAAAATAATCAGATATTAGCAATTTTATTACTAACAGATTTTTAATTATTTTTGTATAAAAAGAATTTACAAAAAGAGTTTTAGAAAGCTTATTTGAAAAAAAACTAAGTTAAATATTTTAATAAGTCAATATAATAAAATAAATAATAGTATACTTATACACTAAAAAAAAGTTTTATATATTCTAATTTAATCTATTAGACTATTATTAACTTTATTTATTATAACTAGAAATATAAAGTAAAAATAAAAGAATTATTGTTAATAAAAGCACTAAAGTAATTACTGTTAATGAAATCTCCAAACTAACAGTTACTAATAAAAAACATAAAAGAGATAGTAAAAAATTATTATGGATTTTTAAAGAAGGATACTTTATTAAATATGATTTTTTAAAGAATAAAATTATTTGTTTTATAATTCTATAATTATTAATGTTAATTAGCTAACACTTATACTTATAATCTATCAAAGAATTATTTTCAATACATATATTGTAAGAATGAATTAAAGTATAATAATAATACTAGAACTAGTTTATTAATTCATCATTTAAAAAACATCAAATATAAGAAATATCTAAAAATTGATACATTACAATAAACATTACAGTTATCTTTATCAGATCTCATTCTCTATAAATTTTTTTAATCAAAAAAACATCAAGATATAACAGAAATGATTATTAGATATGCATATCTATTTTATATAGTTAAACATGAGAGATTTATAGCATTTGTTAATGGTTTGCAATCACAATATAAAATGGTAAATATGAAGACTGTTTGTAAAAATAATATAATTATTTTTAATGAACTTAAAGCAAAAATTCATATAATAATTCAAAAATTACCTAGCAATCTAAACTATATAATTGATCTGTAAACATTAAATCAAACTGTTAGATATATTATTATTACATGTCATTTTATCAATAAGAATTGGAAGCTTTGAAAATATATTCTGGGTTCCTACATCATATATTGCAATTGATATTTATAAAACAGTTTTTAAGTGTTTTGATAACTGGAATATCATGATAAAAATATTAACAATAACTATGAACAATGCAACTAGCAATGTTTCTGCAATAAGGCATTTAAAATGTAAACTTAAAAAACAAAATATGCTTATTGCAAATAATAATAATAAATTAATTTTATATAAAATATTAAATTTTAAAATTTTGTTTATAGTAATAAAACTATCAATATGTGTTCAAAAAACTCTTTCGGCTAATCCACATTTTCATATAAATTTTGACATGATTAACATTTTTCAGTTATAAATGAAAGTTAATTTGCATAATAAAAAATCAAGATAATGTAGAAGAAAAATTACACAAGGCTACATAGGACCAACACATTACGAGATTACCCGATGGTCACCTGTTGCCTTTAACCAATCAAAATCGTAAAATTTGATTAATCCTGAATCAGTCCGAAAATCATTAAACTCAATTATATCAAAATAAGGTAAATGTCTGAATATTTGAAATCCCTAAAATCGGGTGATTTTGCGATGTAAATCTGTTGATATTGTGACAGGCTATAAGGACGGGTTCAGAGATGGGGGCAAATGCGACGAATTGTCACTAGAAAAACAATTATGTCGCGTAACGTTCCTCAAAGATGATAGAGGCGGTTTTAAGATTTGGCACAAGGTCGAGGCGATCTTTTAAGGAGCGTTACAATATAAGTGCAACGATTTTTAAAGAGCGTTAATATATTTTATAGGTTAAAGGGTTTTATTAACTTTATTATTATTTGTAGGGGTAATACAACTATAGGACTGTATTATTATACTATTCTGGGCTGTTCTGAACTTAACTTTTGGCGTTACTTCCCTCTTGGAAGGGGGAAATTCCACCCTTTTTATAATGAATTGAGCGCGCGAAGAGCCCGCACAAGACCACGACTCTTCTCATTATTCCCAACACTTGCCAACCTTATTTGTTATAACCTTTAACCCCTTCCACACAGCCTTTCGTTACTTTAACATTTCTCACGGATTTCATATAACCGATGAGAAACGTTTCAGTTTCACTATCTCGGGGCCAGAACCCATCATATTGTCTTCAATCGCACCCCCTTGACATCGCCTCACACCTAACCCAAGTAAGGCAGGTGGAGTCAACGTCCATTCCCAGCGCAACAGGTTGGTCCAGGTCGACCTTACTTTAATTGGAAGGGGTTGTGGGGTCCCGCATTTAGGCTTGTGTACTTTCATATGGCTTCTTTGGGGCTGGGCGCACATGTTTCAGATGGATCGTCATGGGCACCTCTAATTAGGTAAGTATGCCATAATGACGTCCATTTCGCAGGTTCTATGGGGTGTCGGGTTTACCTCTGACAATATTTAGTAATACAACACTTTGTTTTACTTGTTCTTTTTCTCATTAATTTGTGCTGTGCCACACGCGAATAATTTTTATTTTACTGATCATTGCAAAATACATAAACAATTTTTTTCCTCTAAAAAAAGCAAAAGTTTGGTTCTTGTAAGATAATATGTCACTCTGATTCCAACTATTCAACTATTCATAAATAACCGATTAAATGAATCACACATTTTCTTAGCAAAAATGAAAGATACTTTGTTTTAAAAATTTGTCATTTTCACTTAAAAGTAACAAGTGAAGGATTTTTTTTTATTCTTAAAAAATATTTTTCATATATCTGAAGATTTTCGTTTTATTTATACTTACTGAACCCATCTTATACAAACGCATTTTGTATAGCGCAGTTCCAGAACAAAACATAACGGATAACTTAATTTTCTAATCGGGTACCATATTTAATCTGCGATACTTGAAGAGATATTTTAAATTTTTAATACGATTGAATTAGCCTAAGATACGATAAAATTCTTAGTTCATAAAAATGCGGTGGATATGTTTACGTAATTGAGATAGTTTTTCGTGAAAAAAATATTTGGATTGAAGGCTATTAGATATAATAATTAACGATAGAAACATTTAAAGCATAAGAAAGATGAGACTTTACCTAGTGTTGTAGTAAAATATAATTAACTAGTTGGCTATTTAGACATTCGTTGCCATTTTCCAGTAAAATATTCCTTATTATCTTCAGAAGGCACGACAATATAATCTTCCGAAGGTTCCTGTTTTTCTACGATGATATCATCCTGATCATTAGGTGCATTATTAGAAGCAGTATATGATGCCGAAGGAGTAGCGATTTCGTTTGTTTGATCAGGTAAATCGTCGCTGGCTCTTAGATAATGAGATTCCTTACGAATTGGAATTTTAATTCCCTGTCTAGCGAAAGCTTTAGAAAGCGCAGTCGATTCTGATATAATATTTAAGCATAAAATTAAGTTTGTTTGTTTTTCGGAAATTTACCGGTTCAAAACCTGAAACGATGATTCGGAAATAATATACCTGTCATACCCGGGAACTTTTTTGCGAAATATGCTCTAAAACTAGAGCTATATACTTCAGCAGCTACATTTCCCCGAGAGTTCGTAAATCCGTTCTGTGAGCTTTAATAAATTAAATACAATAAATTTTTAAACAAAGAAAAAAGTCAAACTAAATAAATATTTGGTTTAATATTAATGTGACATAAACAGCAAATGCAGGGTTTTATGATTGTCAATAACTTACTGGATTAGTAATTCTTTGACGTCACAGAACGAAAATTTCAGAGTAAAGGTACCTTCCGTTCTAACTGACAAGTCGTGAAATATAAAAAAAATTCCTAATTGATTCATATGATCATTGAGCACATATGCGGACGAAGTACTTTGACCCACAAGACTCCGTGTGCTCAATGGCGCATTTAGTGACATAATACTTGAATTCGAGCCAGAAGAATTTGCGGGAATGGAAGATGGATCAATTACAATACTGCGATCTTCTTTACAATCTTCAGACCACAGTCCAGCAAGAACAATCATAGTAGCATGGTCAATAGAACTATAATAACGTCATACAATTATATAATTATAAAATTAACGCGATTAATTGTTCAAATTCACATATTGAATTATTCTTTTGTTTTTTGTTAAGTATGCACATACTCACTAAGTGTTTCATATGTTGAATTATTCCTTTATTTTTTGTTAAGTATGCAC